GGGTAGATAAGTAAATTTATTGCAAAATCTGACATGGGGGTATCTTTGTAACAAAATGATAAACCTCAGGTTTAGTTGCAATTAACACAAACCTGAGCGGAGGTCATTGTAATTTGCCCTTATTATTAATATATTAACTTGAACTTTCAAAAATAAAAAAACACATTTTAATAATTTTAGACTTCAAACAAAAGTTATCAACATTATAAAGCGGCCATCAATATGGCAAGAATTAGTTATTCTTTTTAATATTGTAGTTTGATTTTTAATTCTACACATCTGTAATAGTTTTTATTCAATATTAAGTACATTTGATAATTGTCATTCTTAATGTCACATATAGTTAGTTGTATTTATCAATGGCCAGTAGTATAACAGTATCAGATTCTTACTTAGAGGTTAGGATTTTAAGTTTCAGAAGAGACAAATGTGTGAATACTAATTAAGAAAAAAAAAAAAAAAAAAGAAGAAGTTTTTTGTATTTAATTCAATAAATGATTTTTTTTTTGTTAATTCAATGATTCATAAATTGAATTTGTGAATTGTAGAAGAATTTGCTCTCAAAGTGACAATTTGTGCGTGAAACGAACATTTGGATTTGTTTTTGAACAGAAATCAGCAAGGACAAGAAGATTTCAACACTGCTATTGAGCAAATATTGCATGAGCTGGCAATTACTATTGAGGAAATGGGTCGTAATGAGAGATTATGTTGACTAAAAAAAAAAAGGAAAAAAAAAAAGGTTTATATTTCTTTGTAAGCATTCCTGTTACTTTCATATTTGTTATATCTTGTGTGTTGTGATTCTTACCAAATTTTTGTATTTATTTTTATACTATTACCTTTCTAAAACCCCAAAATTTTTATTTTCTTACTTTTATTTCCTTATTAAACCTCAACGAATGGGAGACGCCCAAAAAGTTCTGTAAAAAAAAAAAAAAAAACTAACTAACTTCACATCTCAAAAAAAAAAAAAAACTAACTTTACATCTCAAAAAAGTCCCTGACCTCGGGGGATAAGATAAGGTCAAAGGTCCAACCAACTATTTCTCAATCGGAGAGGGATCGAACCTAAGGTACTCTGCTGATGTGATTTCTCAAATGGATTAAATTAAAATTTTAAGACCGGGTTTATTGTTAAAACGGGTTTTAAGTCCTTTTCATTTTATTAAAAAAATTGAACGCAAAGAGGCCAAGGAGGGCGGACTGCGCTGAGGCGGGTGGAGGAGGAACGAATTTGAAGGGAAGAAGAAGCTAGCAAATTCTTCACTTTTATCGAAGCATGGTCATTTACTTTACAACAAAAAAAATGGGCATTTTATTCCTACTTTAAAAAATACAGAGGAATTATAATATTAAAAAAATGTGATTGCTAACACACTTTTCTCAAACAACAATATTTAATAAAAGTCAAATTTTTTCTTGAAATTCCCTCCTTAATTTCCAAATATACATCCATCGAAAATATATATATATTTATTTGATTTACATATATATAGATTAGTTTTCTTTTTTAAGCCATGCATAAAAAACTAGTTCCCATTCCAATTCCATTCTCTAGTTTATTCCATCCCTACCTTGTTTTATTCCTAACTTCTTTCGTTCCTTCATACCAAACTAGCCCTTAGGTCCCGATTGAGAAAATACGCATTCATTTTTATTACTTAATATATATTTATTCTTTAGAAATTCTTAATAAAAGAAATTAATTAATCAATTAGTAATGTTTTACTTGAAAATTTTGCATTTCTGCGTACAAATACACAATACACAATAATGTCATCAATCTAATTGATTATGTGATACATATAAATAAAACATGATTTTAGTGATAATTTTAGTCAGTAATAGGCAATAATCAACAAACAATATGTTTCACTTGGTGATATGAAAGAAAGATCGTAATATATTTCTCAAATTTAAGTCTTAAATAAGATCTTAAATATTCCAACACCTAATCAACCCATGCTTCATAAATTCATGTAACATATAAAGTAGCAATTCCCCACCACTAATCTAATCAAACTCTACCTTTCAAAATAAAAATAAAAATAAAAATTCTAATCAAATCATAATTTGATCAAAGCTAAATCTTTGCCCTTGTTCATCAAGGTAGTACCAAGATGGGGAATCCACCTAGGTACCTATAGTCTTAGTATCAGCTTTGCCACCCCCATACTTACTCAAAGTTTGGCTCATTCGTTTCCACACTGCATCTGCATCCACAACGAAGAAAAAACCAATCAGCCCACAAAAAGTATCTAAAATACCATTTAAAAACAAAACAAAACAAAAAACAAAAAACAAAAAACAAAACAAAACAAAAGCATGATTGCATGAATGAAAAAGAATAAGTTTGTATTTTTTAATTGGCAAAAGGAATATATAAACCTACACACTCTCATTAGGCCAAAGTTTTCAAAATAAGAGGGGTTCCATGCTTTTCTGAACTTTAGACCCATAAAATTGTTCAATGAGATGACCTTTTGTAATAGAAGAAAGATGTGTGTATATACATATAGACACATTAATTAGGATACACACACACACACACACACACATATATATATATAAACTTAGCAAACTTGCCTTCGGCATCCTGAAGGCGGTTTTTGAGCAGCTGCATCTGTGTGTGCATATATGTAGTTGCATTACAGAGAGCTTTCTTAGCTTTAGTTAAAGCTTTAGTTTCATCAGAGAGAGCTTCCGTAGACTCCGAGTTGAGTTTCTGGATTTGAGGGATTGGAGCAGCTGGATCCGCCATATATCCTTCCTACCAGAAGAATCAAACCAAAATAAATCACTATCAATAATACAAATTAATCCTATTTACCGAAGAAAAAAAAAAACTATACAAATTATTATACTCAGATCGTATCAAAATAACACATATATATACACACACAGAAAGATAGATGACTAGTATAAATTAGCATGTTTGTATATCAAATATATCCTTCTAACAGAATCAAAGCAAACTATACAAAAATCAATTATACAAATTAATCCTATTTACGGGAAGGAAAAAAAAAACTATACAAATCAACAGTGGCGTAGCCAGAAATTTCCTCCAGTGAGGACAATTTTTAACAACAATAATATATATATATATATATATATATACATATATATATTATTTGAACCAAAATAATATATGTAAAAATTAAACAGTACTAAATATTTCAGAATATTTTGCAGTCAAGTTTTCAAAATGTTTACGGCATAATAATTGTAAATTTAGATGATAAAAAAATATATATCACATTATCTATCTCTGCAGTGCAATATTTGTTTAGATTTTATGAATTTTTGAAGTATTGAAGACTCGCCAAAAGAGAAATGTTGAAGATCGAAAATGTGATGGAAATTAACAACGAGAAAGTGGAAACAAAATATCATATGTTTTGGAAAGATTATATATATATTTTTTAATATAATACCGTGGATGGTCATTTGGTTTTATATATATATATATAATATATATATATGTACAATGTCAACTTTTAGTAGGGACAATTATACAACTATAAAAATCTTTCCATACAAAATTTAAAAAAATTAAAAATTCAGTGGCTACGCTACTGCAAATCAACTTGATCATATCAAAATTTATATTAGATCATATCAAAATTTATATTTGTTTTTCATAATTCAAAATAATATATTCATTAAATGAAAATCAATTATACAAATTAATCCTATTTACCGGGGAAAAAAACTATACAAAATTGCATGCGTTACTTACTTCTGCAGCGCGATTTCAGATAGAAACCAGACAATAGTATAATATATAACAAAGTTCCTTTTCCGAACGGTATATTTATAACAAAGTTTTTCCGGAGTATTGCCCAAGAAAGTTACATATAACTTGTAAAAAAAGTTAAGAAAAAAAAAAAAAAAAAAAAAAACAGAAGCTAAAAAACGGATAACAATGTTAGATAACTTGTAAAAAAAGTTTTAAAGAGTTTATTTTATTATTATTTTTTTTTTTTGGCATATTATCACTTATACTAAAATATTTACAAATTACTGCCCAAAACTATGAATTTTTTCCCAAAATACCACTCCAACTTATAGCAGCAAGAAAAAACACCCTTATTCAAGGTCCACCCAATGAAGGGCCAGGGGGCACGTGCTTGGTCCCGCCCTCTATAATATATATATATATATATATATATATATATATATATATATATATAGTAATTTTTTTATATTTTTGCTATATGTATGAAAAATTTTATGCAGTGCTCCTAAATTTTGTGATTTTTAAAATTATCTTTTTATTTTCTCTTTTATTTTTCAAATTCCATAAATTTCCTTAAAAAAAAAGTTAAATTTTCATTCCTCAATTAACTCTTAACTTTTTCCTTTTAAATTTCTCTCATTTTTCTTTCATTTTTCTATTTCTACTTCTTAAAATTTTTCTTTTTAACGGGCATATTTGAAGAATTTTATTCTTTTTTATTTTATATTTGTTATGTTTAGATATATATATATATATATATTTTGTACGGTGTCCCTAAATTAAAATCCTGGCTCCTGTCTCCGTTACTGTCCTTTTTTACACTAAAGGGTTCAATAATATGACCCTTATTTCTATTCTTTTGAACAATACTTGCCTTGCCTATCTGGAGGAGATCTCGTCTGATGTATAGGTGATGTGAAATAAAACATTGGCATCCGACCCAATTTTGCAAAATAAAATAAATAAAATTGATGTCAAACACGTTTTTTGTTGGGTTAAACGAGTATGAATTCTATAAATATCTCCACAGCTCCAATCTCCTCATCTTCATTTTTCATTTCACTTTGTGCCTCCATGAAAAGCCACCAAATCATTGTTCAACTCTCTCAGCAATTCTATTAATAATTGTACGGTACATGTGGAACGATAGCCTTTAAGCATTAACATGGCAATTTTGATATCACAATTTTCAAATGCCACATTTCAAACATGTAAACTTCATTAACCTCGCATTTAGTTTCAACAAGGCAATGAGTGAGATTTTCAAACTCAGCATTATAACATAGTTTTACATACATGAAAAAGAACCCAACTGAGAAAAAGCACAATATCCTTTATAAATTGCTCAAATAGAATAAATAAATTTTAAAAAAAAATAAATAAATAAAAAATTGCTTACAAAACCCTCGTACAAAATGTGATTCATGCAAAATAGATAATATATATTCAATGTATCCGGCCACAAAAGCTTAACATGCAACATTTCTCTCCACTAAAAACTAGTTTAGAAGCTGCGAGCATTAATACATACGCTGGTTTCTGCGTTTGGAATGCCAATGCCAAAGTTCTGTATCGCGAAAAAGAAGCATAACGTGTTTCAATTCCTTGTATCATTGATCATGAAATAATGCATCCAGAAGGTTAGAAGGTGAATTGTCTTTCCCACTCTCATCAAAAAACCCATTAGAAGCATTTTCCCTTTTTAATTTTCGCTCCTCTGTGATACACTCTGCTGATTCTGCACAGTAGTTTTGTCCTTGTTTCACTGGTCTGTCGGCCACAACAAACTTGTTCCCATCACGAATTCTCTCGGAAAATCCTGCCCAAACTGAACGTAACCATATATCAGAAACTCACTAACAATATAATAAATATATCATAAATCATACAAAATCTACTGATTATTTGTACTTAACTAATACACAAAATTGCAATGGCATCATAATCTTACCTCATCGGAGGAATATAAAAAAATTGCAATTGCATACAGAAGGGCACTTGCATGAATGAATGATATGTCAAATGACTCAAATTTGTTTTCTTTTCCTTAATTTTTGTTTTGTTTAAATTTCAACCCTTAAAGGAAAAGTCCTAGACTTCGGTTGAGTGTTGAACAAAGGGCTGCAAAAGAGGCCAAGTTTTCAGCAACTTCAATATGGCTTGATTGAGGAAAACGGAAAGCAGCCTTGAACATGGCTTGTCATTTTTGTGAGAAACATATTTCAAATTTGTATTTTACTGTATTAGCTTTGATACTTCTATTATTTTTTATTATTTTCTTTATGCATGAAGCATGGACAATTACCAGCCACTTAAAACGTACAACTCATGATCAATAAATTGAGTATGAAACTTTTCAAATAAAAAAAAATATAAAAAACCATGGATTCTAAAACCAACTCATTCAGGCCTTGCCAACAGTGGAAGTTAATTTTATACAATAAATAGGGCTTTCCTCTTTTACCAATTTTCCTTCTGTCCATGCATGCTAAAACATGCTTTCCTCAATACTTAAATGGGGTAGCCTACTCCCGGATATGACCATCTGTTATTGGGCAACCAAGCTGCTAAAGGTTTTCTACTTTCACATTAAAAGGCCAAGATGGGACTACAAGTCTACAAGACATATTAGTTTTATAAGGATGCTGTCTGAATACATTGTCATCTTCTCATCAAAAGTTCATATTAAAGAAGTAAAAGAACAAGCTGGACGCAAAATGCAAAGTATCACTTAATAAACAAATCAACCAAGCTAATCCATAAAAAGCTCCATTGGTGTACATTTTCTACCACATATGATTTTCCTTAGGAGTTCCTAGCATGAATGTTAGAAGGAGAACATGTAATCTAAAATAGGCAAAAGAGAATAATGTTCTCCAAGATTTTGAATAGAAGCAACTAATTCAAATAATTAACTCCAACTTTAGCAACAAGGCCATGAAGCAAATAAAGATCATGGGATTTACATCTTCATATCCATGCACCCCAAGAACTTGATGATATGAGAAACCTAAAATGTGCCAAGAAGAAAATAATATGTATTGCAGCCGTAATACAAAGGTGGTTGTTTTTCAACATTATGAACTATAAAATATCCAGACAACCTCAACTCAAAATTTTTTATCCAACCATTAGGAGTTCAATGCATGGATCCTCCAATCACCTTTATAATCTACTCACCTAAAATATGAAATCACAAGCCTCATATCTATCTAATAGCTCCAGCCCATGTTCTATTTAGGATTCCTTGTCATTTTAATGCCTTTAAATTAAACTGTATATCTATACACTGCTCTAAAACACACTCTCAGCAATCTTCATTGCACAAAGAACAATTTTTCTCAGCCAACTTTTGCTCATCTTGTTTCTCACAATATCTTTAATTCATTTGCCACTTGGACATTCCAAACCCCAATATTAGCTATGCTAATTTATCATGTTTCTACAACAAATTCTATAAACATCTTACTTATCCTACTGATACATTCCCATATCCTATGATGACTACTAATCAAACACCTTATAATCATCTCTGAAAATAACATCTACAAACAAACATGTGTAACTTTATTACTTATCAAAAAAAAAACATGTGTAACTTTATTACTTATCAAAAAAAAAACATGTGTAACTTTATCATAGCAAATAGTGCACACATAAAATAATGTACAGAACAATAAGCATGAAACAAAAATAAGGATTAAAAATCTATATTAACTAGTTCATATTTTCTAGACCTGCATAATAGTAGCTAAGTTTTCTCAAGGTCAGATTCATGTTAAGGAAAAAAAAAAAAAAAAGTAAACAATGTGAAGAAAACACAAGGAATGAAATCTCAGCAGTTCTTACAGGAAATATTTGAAGTCTGGACCCCACTTGAACCAGTAAAATACAACTCATACTGACCAAGAATATATTGCTATTGTGGAGAAATAACTAGAACTCAAATATCTCAGATGAATGGCACATATTCCAATGCATAAAATTGAGTTGAGGACATGGAAATTGTTAATGTTGGTAAGGAATTTACCATATGAGAGAATTATGTATCTTGGGCCAATCATATGCTAAAAGCAATTTGTATCTCAGAACAATTCATAGATATTGTTGAGGTTGATGACAAGGAGTTTGCCAGACGTTCTAGTTTTGTATCTTGAGCAATCATGTTCTAGGAGAAAGTTTGAAGAATTGCCCATAACTTCATGAGTGAGTGCCAAAATGGAAAGCACTTCATGGCTTTAGTTTGAACAGCAAAATGAGAATAGAGAAGTAATGGAGACAGCAATAAGACTAACTATGACGAGGAAAGTGTTTGCATTAATAAAAAAGAGAGAAGTTCAAAATTAAATGTATAGAAGACAGTGTCTATAAAGGTGGATGAGCAAGTAAAAGAAGGGAAGATTTAATTAGAAATTCACATTTAACAAACAGAGTAATCTCATAATTGAAACATAGATTACCCAACTAGAATATATGGGTGACTTGTGCTGAAAACTTAGCATAGTGACGGTTAGTATATGACCATAAAGAACAAGAATGGAAGCAAAGAAAAAAAATAGAAAACAAGCTCAGAATCAAGTAGCAATGAAAATCCACAATCATGGGGTCTCAAGTGATAATTTTTAAATAATTAATGACGAACACAAGTACTGATGTAATTCTAGTATAAATAGTTATCAAGTTCCTATAACAAACTTCCACAAAGAAGTGTAAACAAATTCAGCACCGTAGAGTGCAAATGATTTACACAATCTCAGAGTTTCATAATTGTCACAAAATTTACCTCCAAAATGATGTAGCACAATGGAAGCTGCTACTGTAACATTCAATGAAGCAGTGCCACACCCGTATTGCGGAATGTAAACAAAAAAGTCACATATTTCACATTCTTTAGTAGAAAGCCCAGTTCCCTACAAAATAAATAATTCTTATTTTATGAAAATCAGGTGATATAGCTTACTAAAATGTGTATCATGTGTGTGTATGATTGGGTGTATTGATAAGTTCAATTAGGGCGAAATTAATTCTCTAAAGATTCTGAATTTGATTCAATCGTGTACTTTAGCAGTTCAAATGTCACAAATTTTTTAATAATACCTCATTTCCGAGAAGGAAAGCAGTGCTCTTCTTAAACGGATGATGATTTATAGCAACCGCATTATCCGTAATTTCTACTCCGCATATATCACAATCTTTCTCCTGAGAAATATGAAGAAATCTAATTCAAAACCCTAATAGTATATGCATATAGAGAGACAGGAAATAAAAGAGGATGAGAGAGAGACCTTGAGGAAGTGGCGGGCGTCGGAAAGAGAGTGGAAGTGGCGGAAGCGGAGGTGAGAAGTAGAACCGTGGCTTCCGAAGGCGTTGAAGTCCCTGCGGCCAACCACTATCAACTCAGAGACGCCGAACGCCGTCGCGCTTCGCGCCAATGTCCCCACGTTATGCCTTTTCGCTATGTTGTGTACCACCACATAGCTCTCTATTCCACTTTTATTTTCCATTCCTCTCTCTGTGCCTATATATATATATATATATATATATGTAAATACCCAGTCCCAGGAGAGAGAGAAAAGCTGTTGCCTAGATTCAACTCTCTCCGTCCGAGCGGTTTATGTCCTTGAGAAAAACCCAGGCCTTCCGCAAACGACGCCGTTTTCTACAGCTGATGATCGATACTTTTCTTTCTAATATTCCAGTTAATTGCAATTTTTTAAAAAACAATTGCTTATTATATTTTCACATTAGATTATTGGTCGATGACTCTATACCCATAATTCCGATTATTAGCTAAGATTTTGTAAATGGTATATTTTTATATCTTAAACAAAAATCTAAATAGAATTTATAGACAATTAATTAGTAATTTATATATAACTCATTTTACAAGCAAAAAGTCAATCTATAAGATTTCAATTCTTTCAAATATGCTAAATAACAACAAACTATTTTAAAATTTCTATTAGCTTTGTGTAACTTCCAAATTATGTAACCTTAACACTCAACTTATTCTTGAATACTTTTTGGGAAAGATATTAAGACTTGCTTGCATATATTCCAATATATATTGAAAATATTATTATTTTAATTGTTCATTAAATACTTGAGCTCCCAAAAATTTGAGTATGAAAGCAGTTCAGTAAAATAAAGTTAAAGAAAATATTTGTCTTTCAATCTTTTCCTTTCAAAACACTATGAGGACAGGACTAGCACTAAATAATGTCTTTGTGACTTTATTCCAATAATTAACTAATAGATACATACAAATCTGAAATATTTATTTAATAAAATAAATCAATAGAGAGCTCTCAACTAATCTAGAATTGAAATTTTGGGCTATCAAGCTTCATTGATCTTACCTACTCTGTTAAATCTAATATTTCTGTGAGCTACCAAAATTACATATTTGTTAAACCGTGTTGTTCTGTTAAACCTTTTTCTAAATGAAAAAATTACACATTCATGAAAACTGCACATGTATTAATAATTTTGCAAAAATGAAAAAAATAGAAGGAACATGCCCTACCATTTTCAGAACAGCCAGCCTGTTTGATTCCTTCTCCATTTAAGATTTCCATGTAACTGCACTCGTGTCAAACAAAAATGCATACACAGTACACACACACATACACACACACACATATATATATATATATACAAAAATGAAGATGCAGACCCCTTATTCTGCAGCAATGACAGCTGAGCTGAAGTGTTTCACACAGTACCTTGAGGGCATGGATTCACTCCATTTTCAGTTGAAAATCGAAAAGCATCATTTGCAATCTTTCAAGAGGCCTCAAAAACTTCCAGCAGATGGATGAATAAACGCGAGAAATGGGGGTTTGTGCTGCACTAATTTAAATAACAAAATGTGTATAAACAGACAACACATTTCCAAGATTTGAGAATTAGGTAAGATCAAAGTTCAAGAATGGTAAACCCTGTAAGTTTCCATTAACAGGGAGAAAGGAAAAAAGTAACATATTTTCAAGCAACTGCACAGCAGCTGAATTGTCTGAACTTTTAAAAATATTATTTTTAAAGGAGTCCTACAAATCATTAAATAGAACACTCAACTCACTTCCTGAGATGAAGTTAAGATTGAGCATAACGGACACAAATACGCCGCTGGATGGGGCTCCTACAGGAAGGGCAGTCCGTCATTCCTTGCTTCTCATGGAGCTCATTGCACGTTGCACAAACCACCTGATGTGCACATGGGAGGAAAACAACAGACATCTCCTCTGAAAGGCACATCACGCACTCCCGTTCCCGTTTCACACCTCCAGTCCCAGAATGGTACTGGAAATCTGTCACCATTCTGGAGATACAAGGCATCTGGGACTCCTGGGAAGGTGCGGCATTTCTGATGTCTGTCTGTCTACTAGCATAGCTTCCATCGATGCCTCTTCTTAGAGCAGCTATCTTCAAGGAGTCTCTCTTTAATCTCAATAGGGAGATTTCTTTTTCAAGTTTCTCAATACCATCTTTATACCTTTGCAGATTGCTTTCCGCCTTCGTTTTGATCATGTCCTCCTTCGATTTTGCTGAAGCTTCAATCTCTTCTCTTTCCTTTCTTACTGAGCTTGCCTGACATAGTAATTCGGCCGTCGCCTTCTCTTCCAATTTCCATCTAGCCTGTGATATTTTACCTTTTCAATGAGCATCTAGCAGTAAAACCCACAATTATGGGACAGGTTGAGATCTTCTGTGACAGTGGTAGGCCTGTAAATGGATTGGGATCGAACCAGACCACATCCGATCCAAGGAAAAAACCATGATCCAATCTGATAATCCACCATATCAATACAAGCCAATCGGAACTATTAACAATCTGATACCCTATCCCATAATCTGACCCGATTAAAACTGATTTCATAAATGAAAATATATATATCTATATATATATATATAGATATATATATATGATAATTTTATGTGAAATGAAAACAATCTAAATTGACTTTCAAAGTTAGTAATATTAACTAATCGCTATTATTTAGAAATCGATCAAATTTAAAAATCAAATTATTTTGATTCTGAAAACTTACCAATTATATAATATTGTGAATATTGAAATATCAACTATATATATATATATATATATATATATATGATTCTACATATAATAATTGTATTGATCTAAGCACATGGCTGATCCATTAGGTATGAAATCATCCAGCTTCCAATTGTTATTGATTAATAAATCGACCCCATTTTACCATATTCAGACAATCAGATTGGATTTCAATCAATATTTGATTGATTGGCAGGCCTATTCAGTGGATAGCAGACACTTTCAGAAGGCACATCAAAACTGCACCATTCAAACTCTCTATTATTAATTTATTGTTTCTCTTCAAGGTTTCTGCTTTCACAAGTTTTGATAGGCTGCTTTCCCAGATTCAAAATCATTCTTCAGGTATTTAAAAATACACATGGTTGTAAGTTACATTTCAGGGATGAGCTCTCATCATACAACAAATATAAATATCTTGAAAACAATTTACAAACAAAATACATTGTGTATATCTCATAAGTAGTTTTTAAAAAAAAAAAATGCACCTTTTGAGGAAAAAAATTGTTTGAGATGCATTGGAACAAATGGAAACATAACAGAATACTTGTTTACAAGTAAAGCTCCAACCAAGGTCAATTAATCTATCCAAATTTCAAAAATCATAAAAGAATACTTGTTTAAAATGCATGACCAGGCAACAAAAGGTATCTATATTGAATGGCAAATCACCCTTCCTCCTAGGCGTGCCCTTTACTCCGTTACCTAAGGAAATTTAAGGCATTCTTTGATGAGGAAACATTGTCTAACCTCCCATTTAGTCACTACTACAAGCTTTTGACTGTATACAGGATGAAACAGGTGAAAAAGATCATAATGTTTTAAGGAGTTCAATACGATCAATTTTGTGAACCTCACATATAATTGTTTGGCCCCCAACCCAATAATCCTAGAAGCATGCCACGTTTACCATTAAACAGTTGGATGTAAACATATAAAAAGGGATAGCTTAGGTTTCATCCGGGAGTAAAAAATAATTAATAAAATAAATATTGAATCCAACTTTACGCACATACCTCAAGTTGATCCCCAACATCTTTAGCTGGTTCCAGCTTCTGTTGCAGCTGAGTAAATTTGCGTTTCTCAGCCATGAGCTCCTCTTGAAACAAGGTCTTTTGCTTCTCCCATGACTGAAATTTCATCAGTGTCTTTTTTTCCCTCCTCGATACATCCTGACAGCTTGCAGCTGACTCTACTGCTTGTAATTTAGCAGCTTGCATCTCTAGCCTCAATGCAGCATTCTCCATCTGGAGCCTCCGAACAGCAGAATTAGCTCGCTCCACCTGCCCACTAGCCTTACCCAAGGCATTCTCCATCTCAGAAAGCTTCTTCATGGTGTTTTCCTCCAAAGTTTGCTTATCTTTCTTGAGCCGTTCCACTTCTTCTTTTTCTTGCCTCAGTGTCTTTAGCTCAGCCTTATCCTTGCTCAGTCTACGAGCAGCCTGCATAACCCTCTGATTGGCCCACTCTGTCCACTCTTGGAGCTGATTTTGCAGCTCCCGGACCCTTGGAACCAACTTCATAATAATTTCATCCTTCTTGTGCTGTGGGAAACACTGCCCTGGAGACTGATCGTATGGCATCCCGACATCATTACAATTCGGAGCCTCCGAATTGCTATTGATGGGCATCGGAACAGCATTGCCTTTAGAAGGAAGTGAAAGAGAGAGATCAGTATCAGCAGCTGACAACGCTGGTGGGGAATCAACTGTCGATATTGCAAATGGAATATTAACTTTAGGTGAAGTAGAAATGGTGCTGACAGTTTCCAAATTTAATGGCGCTGGAGAAGGGAGCCCAAGATGTGTTGATAAATTATGGTTCCCATTGTCTTGGGGCATATCAACTCCCATTCCCTTGCTTATCTTGAAGGAGGTATATTTCACATTAACACAAGTAGAATCTGATACATACTTTAGCGTATCATCCAAAACTAAACTGCCAAAACCAACGAGTTTCCCTGCTCTAGGAGGCCCTCTAGAACAATATGTGCGGATGTGCTTCTCCAGAGTAAGTGACTTCTGCCGAGGTGTACATTCTCGCTTAGTAATACCATAAACCTTTCTAGTGCTTCCTAACTTCTCTTCTGGCGCAGAAGATTGGGATGTTCCCACTACACCAAAAGATCTATTTGCAGTATCAGATGTAGAATGTGGACTCTCTTTCTCAGGTACAAGTCCATTTAGAACAAGGGAACTTTTTGGTTTTATCAAGTTTGGGACACTCGTGATGGTGGGTGCATCAGATTGAAAATTATGTGCACAAGGATTTGAAGCCATGCTGGTGCCAAGTGTCTCAGATTGAAAATTATGATTACAAGCAATTGGATGATTTAGTTTGCACAGATTCTGAAGATCAAGTTCAGAACTTTTAGGCTCTGTCCTTGATTGTAGTTGGGCTGAAACACAGATAGTGCCATTTGGAGCTCCATCACTAAGTACACTGCTCAAGGGATCGCTATCCATTGCACAGGCATGCGACAAATTCATGTCACATACCAACAAACACCACATTGCATCCCCAGTGCTGAAGACAGGCCTAACCTCACGAAGAACACAAACCAATTCAGCCAATATATACTTCTCCATCTGCTGTAGATCCTCGAAGGAGTGATCCCTTGAAGGATCAATTTCTTGACCATTTCTAAGAAATGCTAAAGTATTGTCCACTATATTTGACACCGTGTCTTTACACCCATAACATAGACCAGAACTCAAAACAGCCTTTGTAGCATCTTCTTCACTGTAACCATAAGCAACAATTTTTTTAATTGCGCTATTGAAAATTGTGTGTAAGTTGCTTAAAACAAGTTCTTCGAGCTGGGATTCCGTAAGATCACTCCAATCAGCATCATGGGACTCAGATGACCCACCTGCACTGGACAATCCAATGTCAAGTTTCAAAGTATCAGAATGGTTTTGGTTAATGCTGCATATATCGCACCCACCAGAATGACCATGACTCCGAGTAATCTCCAATTTCTCAGCCGATAATCCATTACTTGGGCACCCATTAAGATTCTTATTTGTGTCATCTAAAGGTGGATCAACCTGGAATTTTCTCTTATTCCTACTTCCTTTTTCTTGAACAGATATAGAAGGCAAAACTTGGCTGGTACTACTACTGGCCTGAGCAACCATTGAAGCCACTCTAATCTGCACAACATACTAACTTTCAATGCCTTCACCAAAATTATCCACAAAAATCTAATTGGACATATACAAATGCAAATATATATACATATATATATCTACGCAAAACTTATAAAACAATTGTTCCATGCAACCAGGACTATCAAACTAAAGCTTAAAAAAAATTATTTAGCGTTTCAAGAACTGTAAACCAGATCATAAAATCCAACCACTCATAATAACGCAAATCAACTGTTTGATCCCAGTAACAGATTATTGCATTATAAAATAACTTTAAAAATCATATCTGTGCTTAACCAAGATACGAAAGCAATGAAATATTAATTTATTTTTTGCATCAAGAAACCAAACTTATCATCAAACAAATAGAGAGCCAATAAACGATAAATCAATAATCAATGTATTTGCATAAGACCCATTATCCTTCAAGTGAATCCAACTACGTAAACTGAATCAAAATCAATAGATAGACAAATAGAATCAATGAAAGATAGTACTCCTAGAATAATAATACATAATCACTGTGTGTTTGTGTGTGTATAAATAAAAGATCCCCAATAGAAAAGAATCGAAAAAAAATAATAAAAGAGTTTCAGCGAAAATTGGTCGATCGAGACATACCCGATTTGAGCTATGTGGCAAGAGCAATGAAAGTGGCGATAAATATCGGAGCAACGGAGGAAGTAGAGACAATCGATAGTCCTTTTGGCTTTTTATTCTCTATGCTTTATAGCATTGAACGTCTCACTCGCACACTTTAATTGTGGATTTTTTTTTTTTTTTTTTTTTTTTTTGGGCCTTTTTTCCAATTTAGTTTGTTAAAACCATGTGACCAGGGTTACCTAAAAATGGATGTGAGGGTTAACTATGGTTAAGAAAAGGGGTATAAAAGGTATTTTGGATAAATACTACTTTGTTCCCCAAAAAGGAAAATGGTCACATTATTGGTCACATTATTCATCTAGAATTTTTGCATGCCATACACTGAACCTGCCCTTGGCCTCCCCTCCGATCCAATTTCAGTCAAATTTGGCCCACCAATAAGATCTTTGGGTTGTTTGATTATGTCCTTTTGAAATAATTTGTTTTAAAAAAAAATTTGAAATCAAACTTTTTTCCAATTAATAATAAAAAATATTTTTCTTCTCTTGGCAAGTCTAGCAAAATTCTTAAAAATTAAAATTCAGAAACCTCCTTTTGTTATTCAGAGTTCTTTATTGTTACACAATGGAAATAGAGATATCAATCACAAATATAAGGGGCAGGAAGAACTGGGTGAGAAGATAGATTAGATCAGAGTAATGGTTAGTGAAGGTAAGAATGTCTGAGTAAGCATCACTTTTAAGGCTTAATTTAATTTGGTTTTTATAGACTAACACAATGGTGATTAATATTCATCATTCTAATCGCGATACTGGTTATTATCCTTGACCAATTAGGTCATGATGGGCCTACACACGTAAAGGGTCTAATCCATTTTTTTGCCCATGCTTTGGTTAGAAGTTGTTTGTTAGAATTGTTTTACGAGCATTTAATGTGTTCGGCGCTATAGCGTCCAAAATTATTAATGTGATGGTAAGGGTTTATTGCTTGAAACCTGTATTTTCATAGACCTTCAAAATTTGTATTTTCACTGTTCCTCTTACCGTCCCTATACTTAGCTTTTGGGCTTATTCTAATTCCCATCCTCTAAACCAAAATCTGTCTAAGGGACGGGTATCAGATAGTCTTACTTTATCCCCGGTATCATTTAGTCTTACCTTATCCCGTGTGCCTTTCTTTTGGTTTTTGTTTTAGTGTTTCATGTGTACTCGAAATTGTATTATCAAGCTTCTCGTTTTAGAGATTGTGGCTTTATTGTCTCAAGATATGTTCCTTCAAAAATTTGGTGACCCAACAATTCTTTATTGGGGTTTTATATTACGCGAGTTCATGTTTCTCGAGGTTTGATAACCCAGAAATTCTCTGATGGGATTTTTGTTTTGCTCGAAGTTATGTTTTTCGAGACTTGCTAACCCAAAGATCTTCTGTTAGGGCTTTTTGTTTTGCTCAAAGTCAAGTTTTCCGTTGGGCCTTTTGTGTGGCTAAGGGAGAGAAACATAGATATTTTCGTACCTTTTTGTTTCTTTTGATGAAGATATTCAATGTGCCCGGTATACCGTGTACCGAGCACATCATAACCGTTTGTGTTTCTTTTGATGAAGATATTCAATGTGCCCGGTATACCGTGTACCGAGCACATCACAATCATTTGTGTCATACATGTGTAGGCGCGTGCACAACATGCACAAATACAAATGATTGTGATGGCTCGGTACACAATGCACCATGCACATTGAATATCTTCTCATGCCAATGACTCATCCATTAATATTGTATTATTTATTGATCATGTACCATGCCATCTTCACTAATCACTTTGCATTTGTATATTTTTATTTTTGCATTAATTATCTTTATTTTCGTATCTTTTATTTATTTATTTATTTATTTTTATTAACAAAAAACATACTCCTACAAAGATATGAATCCTTATTATACTTTAATAAATGGACGAGATACCGCTTAGCCAGTTTTAATTCACCTCCTTAATTTTTCAAAAGACACTTTTTCAGACTTGTCAAAAATCCTATTATTAACGAGCCATAAAATATAAAAATAAAAATAAAGAAAAAATAACCAAGTGAGCCATCAGGTGATTAAAAGGCAACCCGTGTCCGAAGGCTGAACCAAGTGACACAGAGTCTATGGACCCACACAAATCTCCGTTGCCGTTGCCGTCACCGCCACTTCATCAGACCGATGCTGACGAAGAGGATGAGAGCGTGAAGCAGCTCAAAGAGTGCTCTTCTCTCTACTTGTCCTTGCAGGTATTTCTTGTTATATATATGTGTGTGTGTGTATATATATCTAAAACCCTAAACCCAATTTTTATTTGTCAACATGAATGTGTATTGCAGGATTGTCTAGTCAAAACCGACAGAAATTGGAAATCTTGCCAAAAGGGTATGCTTTTATCAGCTCTTATCTTTCTAATTGTTCTTTGGAACACTGTTGGGCATTCATTTTGGGGATTTTAGACCTCTCTTTCTATATAACATGCATATAAACTCTGTATATGCATACTTATGAGAACTTGGGTATTGTATATTTTTGTTTCTATTGCTCATTTCCAATTTTCCATAATGTTATTTGACATGAATATATTTTCGTTTATCATCTTTTTGGTGCTCAAAATTTCTTACAGAGGTTCAAGCTTTAAAGGCGTGCAATGAGAGAAAGAATCGAAAAGGGAAGTGAGAATTATTATGTGGATGAAAGAGCTGAGGTAGTTATTGAATCATGAGATTACATTTCTCATACTTCATCTTACATTTTTGGGTTTTTTGCTTTAGACTCAATAGAGGAACATACAAAATGATTACATATCTTTTATTCTACATTTATTCTTATTTATTGAGAATCTTTCGAAATTTTCCATGTAATGATAATTTTCTATAAAGATGTATGCTTCCTGTCATGAATTAAATTGTTGAGATATTTGATCTCCTAATTGAGCTTGTCTACTCTTTTGCTTTTTTTTTTTTTTGGATGATTTGGTGATGTATTGTATATATGTATATGAAATTGATTTTTCATTTATGATAGAGGACCAATAGTGCAAATCTAGAATGTGATTAGTTTGCGGTTGTATGGTGGAGAATAGTGAATAATCAACATTTTATAGACTACACTAGAAAACAGAGAGTGGAGGCAAATAAGTAATGGAATGACTGCTAGTATTATCCTTGGTTCTCTATCTATGGTGAATGAAATGACATAATTGCATCGAGTTAGACGAATTGCCTTTGTAAAAGGATGCCAACCACTAAAAATTTGATTCCAATTTTTCTGTACGCAGAAGAATTTTCCTCATCTTGACAAAACAATATTCATGTAGGCGATCCCAAATAGTTAGAATATGGACTTCCTTGCTTGATACCTTGCATGTATGAACCATGCATATACACAAAAGTGATACGGAAAAATGTTGACCATGCAGCGTTAATGGTAAATATCATACTGAGTTAGAAGTTCAGTTTTGGCTATCACTTCATATCTTCAGTCAGGGAAATATCATATTCAGCCTGGGAAATCCCAGAAGAGTGATTTACATCTTTGCTACCACTTCATTTTTCTTTTCCCTTTTTGTGTCTTTGATGATCTATAGATCACCACAATCATCTATTCATTTTTACTTCAAAATTGTTGGGGGTGAAATTTTGATTAAGTTTTGACACCCATGATTCTTTGGTTGGGGGATATCACAGACATCATGTAGATTCATCCAAGCCAGCCCTGCATTTTTCGGTTAATCATCTACGTCAGTCTACCACTTGCATGTGTGTGTACTACTTACATGTTTGTGTGCTTCGCCCGGCGCTGCGAGGGAACAGAGGAGCATTTCTGTATAAAAATAAAAATACAAGAGAAATTACAATAAAAATTAAGGGGAACCCAGGTTCGCATCAACTATAGCTCCTCCTAAAAAGATACCAGGATGCATCCACAATGATCAGCACAAGGAAAGGAAGACGCTCCATTGGTAAAACCGAGTACTTCCAGCACATGATAACCAATTTGCTACAATTGTACTCTATCGTTGCTTGTTTTTCAGTGTATTTGTATATGCTTGATAAGAATACATTTGCCAACATTGTCTAAATTCAGAAAATTGAAAACTGTTTTGACAGATTTATAAAGGGCGGGTCTCTGAAAACATGCTTTTTCTTAATTGAGTTTTCAAAACACAGTGCTCAGAAACAGCAACCAAACAGTTTTTTGTTTCCAGTTTCAGTTCTCAAAAAACTGAAACAAGCAAACCCTACATTTCTCATGCAAGAGTTGCACACCATTTGTCTTGAATTGCTTCTGAAGAGAGATTCTATCACTCGCACAAGGTCGAGCCCTGTCAAGCACTCATCACTCTCTGATTGACCAGGTATATGCCAGAGCACACAGTGCTCAAGTTCTATCTGTTTTCCATTACATATAGACAATAACTTGAGAGGCTTTAGATTGTCCAAAAAGGAAAAGGATGTGGACAACCTAGCCTTTACAAGGAGTACTTACTTGACCTAATTGAATATGTTGCTGCTTACAGCATTGATTAAATGGACTGCCATATCCAGATTGAATTGTGTGATCTTCACTAGGAAGAACTCTAGATCCCCAGAATTCTGTGTGTCCTATACCATAAGCTCACAACAATCATACCATTCAGAAACAAAGATCACAGGATAACTTTATTTTGCTACTTAAAATAGTACTAGAGAAATCATCATATTTGCCATTTAGAAACAAATATCTTGCAATGTAATCAAAAAATATCTTCAACTTCCTTTTCATGTACATATTTAGTAGAATGGTTCGTGTAAAGGTCTGTTACACCAAACTTCCTACCAAGATCACTCGTCCTCCAGTGTGTTTTACAGAGCATTCTGCATCATGTAGTCGTTTATATAAGCATGCACGAGCACCCTTAAATGCATGTGTGGAGATCAATCAATAAACAAAACTTGCGTTCGCAGATCAAATGGCTCCTGCTGCCAGTTGCATGCTCCAACTTCTCATTAACAGTTACCTGCCATAAAGACATTATTTGGTTGGACAGCTTATTAGCAACCACATCGATGCTTAAATGCTTACTCTTTTCTTCTATTTCTTCTTTTAAGTTTGCGAAAAAGCCAACATCACATTTTGGAAAAAAGAAATGCAAAAGTGAAACAGGGAATATGACAGTAAAACTTCCTACAACTAAAGATGCAGATGAGTACCATTTCAAGGCAAGTGAAACAGGACACTGAGTGAACTTCCTAAACACCCATGTTAGCTCAGTCACTGCAGAGAATGGAGAGAGAGAAAATATTGTGTCATTAAAACAAGTAGCACATTTCATAGAAAACAAAGCAGGAGTAACCACCACAATTGAAAAGGTCTGGGAAGTGGTGGAGATGGAACGACAATCACTGCACTTTGATCTGTCAAACTTCAAGAGACTTGGATGATATAATCAATTCAATATATGCACTCTTTCCGAGTAAGATATCTAATGTATAGAGCCTATAATGTCAAAAAGAGAAACAACTGCACTTTGCAGCATAAGTCTCCCATAAGGGACTTGCAGATAATGATTCAGAACAAAGACGTGACCATTCAGTTTTGAATAAGAAAATCAACAACCAAAGAAAGACAAAATGATTCATACATTGATAAGTCTTTTATGTGTACAATGATGATCGTTATATCATCTGTCCGGTTTTCATGCTCTAACCATAGTTTGTATGAATCTCCAGCAATGGCAGAAGATGCATCCCTAGAATCTGTGTATCTGCTTACCTGCAAATCCGAAGTAAAAACAAGAGAGACAGGAGAAAAGAGTAAAAAGACATCAGAAAAACTGAAAGGCAACAATAGGACAGAGTACAACAAAATCACCAATGAAATATTAAAAGATTGCAATACCAGGAAAATTTATCAGAGGGAAAGGCTTTTAAACACAAAATCAATGTATTGACTAATTTTATTGCCTAGAGGAGACTGCACATTTGATGATAGTCTCAGTAGCAGAACCCACTTCGCTCCATTGATAGAGAGTATTTCTTAAGAAAATTACCAAAAAATATAACAAATAGAAGATTGCCAATGGTTCATAAAGTACTCATATCCAGCAGCGTGGAAGTCTTTAGGGACAAGTCGTAGCAAACAGTGACGGTTGCATATCTTATAGGCCTAGAATAATGATTAGAAAACAACTTCTGTAAAGGGTTGTTAGGGCAATAGGATAAATTTCATATACAAAACTAGAGTCTGTATATTTTGTCAAAATTTTTTAACTTAGTTTTAGAAAATTTCAAAAGTTAGTTGGTGTTAGTTATTACCTCCCAATGTAGAAGAAGTAAATTCATGCTACATTCAACGATAATTTGGTAATCTTCGTCTTTGAGGGCCTAAAGGTAAATAAACACAATGATGCACTCACCAAATTAGGGTCATGCATAATTAGGGGCTTTTCATGATTTTAATTTGATTTTATTCCCTAAATCTTTCAAACTATGCATCAACAGAGTTTTGGAAACTTCCTGGAATTTTTTTTTTTCCAAGTATTGAAATGATGTAGATTTTGATCCATCAAGGGATCAATCAAGGCCTTTTGATGTATCATCCATTGATCGATGACAATTTTAATCAATCAAACTTGTCCAAAAAGCAGTTTCCAACTTGAATTTAAACTCAACAAATCCCAATCTCTCTATATCTCTATTTTGCCTATATACACTACCTCTAGGCTGAACACATATATCTCATTGACTCAGATATTCATAAAAAGAGCATTTCTAACAACCAGAGACACGAAAAAAAAAAAAAAAAGAAAAAAAAAAGGCAAAACCCTGCAAGAGCAAAACTTGGGGTTTACTCAATCTAAGGTCTCAATGGAACATACCATGTAGGATTTAAAGTTCATTAAGGGGAAGATCATCAATCCGATCCTACTCAATCAATCAATTCAGAGCAAACATGGGTGAGCAATCACTAGAGAAGCCTATTCGTGAGAAGCGGATGTTGTAGATGAGCGGACAAACGACGTGGAGACCTCTGGGGAAAAAGGGGTTCGAGGGCAAGTGAACTATCAGTCTAATTGTATTCTCTTTCTCAATGTTGGATTGTGTCTGACTAGACTAGGTCCCGTGTTTTTTTTTCCTGTTTGGGTTTTCCACGTAAAAATCTTGTGCCTCTGCTCCTCTACGTTACTTTCTGTTTAGCGCATGATTCTGAGTTGATTGATTAAAATTATAGTTTAACTATAATCTTACAAATAACTAACTGCAATATAGAAGGATTAACAATTTTTTTGAAAAGAGACTAAAAAGTACCAGCAACAAGGATCTATCATCTATCTGATCCAAAGGCATTTCAATCAAGGGCGCCAGTCGCCACCTTACAAAAAGTAAAGAATTCCCTAACTTTTTATATTTTGTAAATATCAACTATAACTGGTTTTCTGCCTAAATGTTATCCAGACTACGCTTTAATACATAAAGTTTTATTCTGAATTTGAATTTTTCATGTAGAAGACACTTAAAACTGTGTAACACATTTCCAAGCGTCCCTTACCTCAACAAAATAATACTCGTAATAATAACAATAATCATAATTTATATAAAAACAGCCACGGAGCTTGGATACACTCTTTGTACTTTTCAAACTTAGCGGACTTTGAGGGAGAGGAATCGTTTACCACTCAAAAGAAGCAAAAAGATCATTATAAAAAATAACAATTAAAAAGGAAAACATAAATTAGTGGCAATGCAGCATGCATGTTTTCTTACTTGTGCACTGCTAAATTAAAGCTTTTTTTGTCTTCCCTATAGTACCAATTAGCCTTCTATTTTTCCGGTACATTTTATGCTCCACAAACATGTGTCGTAGACAAAAATACTTCATCAACAATGAGTTCAATTTCGGAGTTCCATTTCTACACTTCCATCACATGCCACAAAGTTTAAATTTTGTTTGTTGCTTCATATTTAATCCAAACATTGAACTAGTCAGCCAAAATAGAAATGAATAAACCAATGCCTGACAACAAGAAAATTAAAAGTACATAATCAAATTAACTACATCAATGTTGGATTCAACAAAGATTCATTAAGGTTCCATATTGAAATAATAATAAATAAATAAATAATAAAAAAAGATTGACCTTGACAAACTGGAACTATTAGAACACGAAAATGATCAGGGACCTCACCACATCAATTAACTATCAAAATCAACAGATGAGCAAAAACAAAATGAAGAACAATAGATGAAAGTGATTCCCAGGAACTTTAACATGTAATCATGGATCGTCACTTACCATATCCACAACAGTTTGGCTTGAAAGGAATTCAAAAACTCCATCACTTGCGACCACAAAGAATGGATGAACAGGAGTAAGCTGAATCATTGACACCTCAGGAACAGCAACAACACCAATCCTCTCAGCTACACCATCTCCTAAACTCCTTGTAAATGCAGTCCCAGGGTACATCCCGTTTGGAACCCACAATCTAGGCGGATCCCAGCCGTCCATCTCTTCATCACCCCATGTTTGAATACTCGGATCCTCACGCCCTTCCACCTGATCAACACTCAAAACCCTGGCCCCACAAAGCTTCACTCTGTCACATTCATCTTTTCTGTATGGTGTCTGATCATGAGACAAGTCTTCAGCAACAATTTGGTTCCCATCCTTAATGGCAATCACAGCTCTTGAATCACCTGCATTTGCCACATAAAGCATATCCCCAATAACAAGAACAGTGATTGCGGTGGTACCACTCATTGAATCGTCAATGACGCTATTATGTAGTTCATTATTTGTTGCCAAAAATGCAGAATCATAAGCTCTAACGGGATCATCCAACAATGTAGGGTCATTTGATAGAATTTCAACTAATCTATCCTTAACAAAATTTGAACACTCTGCACCAAACTCCCCATGCCCATCAAATACACCGAAAAAATGGACACTTGGGTTACCTTGAATTTGCGTTCTGATACAGAAACTATCTTGGTTTTCTTTATCCGGCGTGTCTGGGTAGAACCCACGTTGCGTGAGGACCGAATACTCCAACTGGAAGTTGTGTGAAGGAACAGAAACACAATGTAATGGCCAATTTGCAAGTATATGCCTTCCATGGCCAGTATATATACCCAATTCTTGGCGGTCCTTGTTATCACCATCTGAGGAACTTGGGTATCGACTACAACATTTCCCATGAACACAACCCATGTTCCAATAAAAAAAAAATCAAGAGCCTAGCCAATCAATTTGAAACGCAGACCAACCGTTTGTTAAAAAGCTCCTAAAAGAAACAGTATATATGAACCTAACTTTCAAAGAACTGCAATTCTTGGTGAAAAATTGCCAAATGGGGACTCCGAATATACAACATTGTGGTTGTTGCATATGGATTTATGGAACCCACACGAACAGAGAGAAACGACCAACAAAACCTAGAAGCAAAGCAACCCAACAGACCTTTCTCTGGATAGAAGAATTCTGCAACAGAGATGATCGCTACCAACTGGCTCTTTCCCCTGAAAAAGGGTTTTCTAGGAAAATTTCTTACGATTGGGAAAACCCCTCAACAAGAAATACAGAAGAAACCCATCTTGGAAAAAGGGCAATAAAACCCTAGAACCAACCCTAAGAACAAAAAAGGAGACTTTTTTTTTGCTTTTGATCACACGACTGGCTTTTTAGTCATAGAAGATGTCTAAATTGTGTAGGGTTGTGGGGTCTATAAAGCTTGTAGTCAAGGAAGTTTCCTAGAAATTGAAAGAAAAAACGCACTCAATTACAAAATAATCAAAGAGGGAAAGAGGATTTTGGTTTCGTATAAGAATTTCATATTGCAAAGAAGGCAAGAAAGCCCTAAACCAACCTAAGAAGCAAAAAGGATTCGACTTTGCTCGCTTTGATCATATAAATGACTTTGTCACAGACGTGGGGTCTGTAAAAGACTGTACTTTTGCCGGTAGAAGATCACAGCTTAAGGACAAAACTCTGAAAGCAAAATTACAATGAAATGAAATGAAACACTAGGAAAAAAGCAACAGTGCACATAGGATAGGGGTGTGAGTGACAACAGATGAGAAAGTGGTAAAAGTATAGAGAATGCTTTGTTTGTAGATTTGTATATGAATGTGTGTGTGTACTATGTGCATTTGTGTGTGGGGCTTGTCTGCAGAAACACCATGTTTTCAAGAACACATGCAATGCAACAAGTGGGAGAGACTTACAGAGAAGGGACAAATGGCGAAAGACAAGAAAATGGGACAATGGAACTCAAATTTTAACCAAGACCCCAAGAACAAGTGAGAGAATTTACAGACGCTTTTTACTGTTAGTAATAATTCTGGTGTTGAAGTTTGGGAGTGAAATGGGCTCAATGCCTTTAACCTCACTTTCTTGTCTTTGTCTGCATGGTCACCACTTTGTAAAGAAATTTAGATGCATAAATCAAAGTATTCTTTGAAGTAAATAAGTTAATTATATGGAGAATTACATTTTTTTTTTTATTGTTTTACTTATGATTAATATTTAATAGTGGGTTTTGTTCGGTGAAAGGAAGATGAGAGTCCCTCCCCAGAACAAAGAGAAATGATTATAAAAAATAAAAATAAAAAAAAGGGAAAGGGAAAGAAGGAAGGAAGATTTTTGGTGCACAAGTGGGAAAAAAATGGGAAGGATTTATTCTTTTCTCTTTTACTTTTTCTTTTTTCCTTATATTGTTAAAACTTAAAAGCATTAAAAAAAATTCTAAAAACTTACCATGCGCCAAGAAAATGAAAGTCATAGACCTGTTTCATTAAGTTTTTGATAACAGTTTTATGTTTCTAAGAATTGAAAGAAAAATAAAAAATAAAAAGTGTGAAAAAATCAGTTTTATAAAAACACATTTTTCAGAGAATTATCTTTATAATTATCTAAAAATAATTTTTAATTTTCTAAATGTTTTAGAATTATTTTTAAAAAACTGAATCTATGTTGTGTAAAAGTCATATGATTTTTGTTTCATCTTCGTTGTTATCCATTAATTCAATAACTAGATTGAAGCTGCATAGCATTAATATTTTCAAAACGAAATAAATAGGTATTGATAATTACGTGAACATTTGTTGCACGTAACATTCTCATTTTAATAATAATAATAATATAAAAGATCTCGAGTCAAGTTAGACTGCTATCTTAAACACAAAAACAATTCATTTCCCTTTTTTTATTGGATTTTAAATAACAAAGAGGAAAAGATGTTTGCACAAAGGATTTTATCACCCACTTCCTTATTAATAGAAAATACTATTATTAGCACTATTTTATCATCTTCAGTCCTTGATCAATCATAAAGCCAAGTTCATATTTTAACTTTATTGGTTGTTGATGGTTTTTTAATCTATAATCTGATCTATGGAGTTATAATTTACGCTTAAAAGAACAAAAAAATTGCTTATTTAACCGTGTATAAAAGAAAAAAAAAAATTTTAATTACTTTTAATATTATTTTACACAAAGTGAATCACAGGCTCATAATTATATTTATCAGTCTTACTTTTAACCTGGTTTGCACATAAAAGGTGAACAAAAATTGACCATATTTTAAAAGCATCTGCAATAAAAATATAGACTTGCCTAGCTGGTGTGATTTAAGACATGTTCCATGTTTTTATTATAGATATGCAAATTGATAAAGTTAATATATTAGAAATAGCTATAGCTTCATTTTCGTCATGTTAGCCGCCCCCCATTTATATTTTTGCAACTTCTATGTTTGACAATTATTTTGTTTCATGTTTTTATTGTTAATTTGGTGAAAATTGATATTATTGACAAAAATAGTTTTCATAACTTTTGTTATGATTTTGTAGAGTACCACGTATATTACATATGTATAGTTAAGAGTTTAAAAAATTCATTAAGGGTGTGTTCTGTTGCATTGAATTGGAGTTTTAAAATTAGAATTGAAATTGGAAATAGAATTGGTAGGATTTGTGAAAATTTTGATTCAATTTTCTTAATTATTTTTCTCAAATTCCACCAATTTTAATTGCAAAATTCCAATTTCATGCAATTGAAGACATCCTAAGAGAAAAGAAGTGAAAGAAAGAAAGAGAGATTTAAAGTTCATATCTAAAATTCAATCATATTACAATTACTTGGGATAATGTTTGGTAATCATCCAATATATCAAGAAAATTGGTGTATGTAGTGTTGCGAAATTAAACAGAAAAACAAAAGAAATATATCAAACATACAGATTTTACTTGATTTACCTAAAATTTGTGACTACGTTCAAAGGTTGTAGAAATTTTACTATGATAATCAAAACAGTAACTAATACAAAGAATTTAAAATGAATAAATAATAACGTACTAGGATAACATAATAAGTATAAAAATTCCTAAATTACCTTTAAACTTTAATGTATAATATTTATCAAGCTTAGCACTATCATGTGCAAGTTGTCGTAATCTGTTTTGGAAGTTTTTGTCTAGTTTAGGAAAATAATTTAAGATAGACACCTCAAAGCCGCCTTCTAATCATGTCCAAAGAGGGAGAAGCAAAGTGTCCTAACCAAAATTTGAAAAGGGCGTTTAGGAAAATGCTTTGGATTAGGCAACAAATTTCAAGGAGAGAGGGTGGGACCCTCACATGATCTACGAGCATCTTCATTCCTTGTTTGGAATGAAGGAAAAGAGGGAGAGAAAAGCCAATTATATAATTTGAAAATGTGATCTGATTTTTGGGCGACTCCATATCACTTAATACTTACTCCATCTTATTTGTATAAGATAAAGAATAAATTATCTCTCATGTTAAGGAATTTATTTGTTAAGATCAGATTAATCGGTTTTGTCACTAGTCATAAGTATTCTTAAGTAAGCTTTAACAAAGAATTTGAGTCCGGCGTTTCAAAACTTCATTAATTATCACTTCGGTCGAATATAACTACACATCAATAAGTTTTATCTCTTTCCATAAAGCAAATAGTGATTTTATATTTCTTTCTCTTTTTCTTCCTTTTCTTTTTCTTTACTTTCTTTCTCTTAACTTGTCTCTTATCAAACAAAAAAAAGGAAAATAAACAGAGAAAAAATCCCAAATGCTTTGGATTAGGCAAAATATATATATATATATTGAAGGAGAGGGGAACCAAAAGTGCACCTCACATGATCTAAGAAAATGTTAGACCTTGTTTGGAATAAAGGAAGAGAAGGAAAGAGAATATAATATTTTTAAACCTTCTCAACTTTCCCTTCAAAATAAAAGCAAATAGTAGTTTTCTATTTTCTCTTCTTTTTCTTCCTTTTCTTTTTCTTTATCTTCTTTCTCTTAACTTTTCTCTTACAAAACAAAAAAACAGAGAAGTAAAGAAAAAATTTCAAGTACCATCATGCTTTTTTATCCTCCCGTTATTTTTATATTCCATCCACTTTCTCTTCCATCGTGTTCTCTACTTCAATTTTCCCTTTTCTTCTTTTCCTTTTTCCCCATCCTCCAAGCAACGCATACAAATTTGGTGCTTTTCTTGCTCTATCTTTCACCTAATCTTTACCTTGTAAATTAAACTAAGAAAAAAACAAAAAAAGGAAAAATAAAAACCTTATTGATTAAAAACAAAGTAAGTAGCTAAGTACCTATTTAGTTTGTAACATTTTGAAAATAATTTTTTGTATTTAGAAAATTAAAAAATCATAAAATTGTACAAAAATTCTGCTTAGTTCAGTTTTATGATATTTAGTTATAAAAAATATATTTTTATACAATTTTTTGAATTATTAAAAACTATTTTTAAAATTACAAAGTAAAACACTCTGGCCTTGATTTGGGCATATGAGTGAGAGGGCTTATATATAATATAATGGTATCAAATCAGTAAGAAAACAATTTAAAAGTCTTGTTAGCCAGAGGTAATGGAAGGGACTATTACCACCAATTCAACCAATGTGGGCTCTAGCCCACTTGATAATTAAAAGACTTGGCCCTTTTAAATCAATATCTTGGTTGGTCTGACACACAGAATGGGCCTAAATTCAATATTCATTCACACTTCTCAGGCGACAGTAACAGTCTAATAGAGCTCAAGACAAACAAAAATAACCATTAATTAAGGGTTTGTTTGGTTTGTAACTATAAAAATAATTTTTTTGTTATTGGAAAACTAAAAACAGAAACTGTACAAAAAATTCTGTTTGATTCTGTTTTATGAAAACTCAGTTATAAAAATACCTGTTTTCAGATAACAGTCTTTTATAGTTATCTGAAAATTGTTCTTTCTTTTCTCTTTTCTGATAACTATTTTTAGAGTTACAAACCAAGTATGTCCTAAAATCTCCTGCTACTAGGTTATGGTGTCTTGAATTGAAATTCGATAGAATCCAATTTAAAATTTGAATTAAATTTTTTTAATTTTAAATTCAAAGTGTCTTACATAACATTAGTATCTTTTGCACTTTGGAACAATAAAGCAACTACTAAAGTTGTAACCAAAGACACGTCAACGTCTGGGTGGAAATTATTTGCATTGTCCAAACTTAATTACTTAAGCTAGTTGGCTTTATGACACCATCAAGTTGTCTCCATGTAGAGAGAGAGAGAGAGAGAGAGAGAGTGTGTGTGTGTGTGTGTGTGTGTGTGTGTGTGTGGGCTTTCAAATTGGTTTGTGTTGCACATGGAATGGATAAGCCCAGAAATCTGTTGCCATCGCTGAAGTCCACTTCCACTACCCAGGCTGCATAGAACTCTCTACTATTACAATACCAATTCAACACACTATAAAATTTGTATGCATATAAAAGCAGAGAAACAAGAACAGGACTTTTATTATTATTATTATATTTTGTATTTTTTGGGTGTCCACATACTTCGAATAGGACTATTCCTCCATGTTAACAAATGGTAGGTTAGGTAAGTGCGCAAAAATATGATAAGAGACATGAGTCAAGATTCATTCTGCATCCTTATAATGAAGAAAAATGATATAAATGTCGGGTTTTGTACCGACTGTCATTTGAGTGAAACATATAATGATATACAGTTCATTACAATTAAAAAAAAAAATTAAATTAAATTAAACTAGAAAAGAAGTTTCACTAATGGAAAAAATGCTTGGCCATGTTCAAGTTCGGCACTTTGGCACCATAAAGAATGGTTTTCACATCAAAATTGGATAACATTTTGGAAACACGATCGAGCGGATTATATAATTAAATAAAATAGCCAAACTTATCAAAAGTTAAAGGCTGTCGTATTCTTTTTATCATGCATAGATGTCCACTTTCTGTGGTGGGGTCTCTTTAATCATATGCCAACCATAAATAACATGTATGGATATGACATAAAGATGAAAATGAATGGCAAGTGTAATTTTTTTTTTTCCTTTAATTTAGAAGCTAAAAGGAAAAGAAAGAGATGGTGGGGAGATGAGAAAATAAAAGAAGATAATGAGAGAGAGAGAAAGAAAGAAAAGGACAAAAGAAAAAAATCAAAATGAAAACTACTACCACCAAGAAAGAGTAAGAGAAAGAGAGAGAGAGAGAAAGAGAAAGAAAAGTTCATATAACCTCAACATGACCACATTTTCACCCTCCCACTAATACACAAGCTCAAAATCTTAGGCGTGACAAACATAAGTGGGGTGCAATATTATGATGAACCCACACCCTTTTTGATCCCCCTTCATCCCTATTTCCCACCACTTTTTGTCTTTCTACACAAGTCAATCCCACAACCATTCATCATCCACCATCCAATGAACTTACAATGCAACATTGATGATTCATCACTTTTAATTTTCAACTAAACCCTAAAAACTCCCTAATCTTACGTACCTTTTTTTCGCTTCTCTAAACCTCACAATGTATCCACATCCCCCACCACTGCCACCGTTGTTGTCACTATCACCATTGTATTTATTTTCGACGAGCTGTAAATGTTTGAAAAACCACGCTCCCGACAGCTGGAAATTCGTCAACCGCACAACTCCGACATTTCAATCCAAGTGGCTCGAGTGCTTTTGTGACACGTGTCCACATTTCATGGCTAGTGCAAGTACTCGACACCGATATAGTCCCCGGCCGGAATACTTGCACCACCCTATGTAACATCCCCACCACATCGTCACAATCATCGTAAATCGAGCCGACGCACTCGAAGCTCGCATAGCTGTACCCGTCCTCCGGTGTGACATGGATGGTCGAGTACCGATCTCCGTCGAGACCATTCATAGAGTACCCACATGGATCAAATCCAAAATCACAAATAAGAGCATTTGGATTGATGTCACCAATGCCGGTGATGTCGGTCATCTCCTTCCCGGCCATGTCCCCGGATTTGCCATCATTGGGACGGCGAAAGAACTTACGAGCAAGCACACGGTCGAGCTCGGTCATGCACACTTCTAGAGTGTATAACACGTCGGGCAAGTGCTGCACCACCATGTGGGACTCATCACTAGCTGAGAAAATATGCCATGCATGAGAAGACAACTTGGAGGGCATGACAGAGGCTTTTCTATAGCAAAGATGGTTTGGCAAGCACTCTTCTATGTACAAGACTTCATCTTTGAAGCTTGTGTGAGGGTAGGGTTGTGACTTGGGGAAAATGAAACTACCTCTTGTGTACCTACACATGGAGAGAGTGAGACCCAAGTGATCAAATACAAAGTGTTGCAATGGACGGATGGATTTCAAGAGCTGGGTGGTCCCACATGTCTTGATGATGATCTTGCTGGGGTACACAAAGAGGCTTGACTCTGATAGTACGTAGGAGTCGAAGTATTGGTTGCCCACAGCTGATACTACTGTGCACTGCACTGCATGCAACACTTCCTCCAGGTACTCGAAGCCGAGTTGCCGGAGGCCGATGATGCCGGTGGTGGGGTCGTCGCCAGAGAAGTGGAGCTCCAGGCGCTTCTCAAAGCCTTCAAAACCAGAGATAGCCATTGAATTTTGATGGATACAACAAATTAAAAGAAATTGATGATCAAATTGAAATTTGAGATCGAATATGTATTGAGAGAGGTTATGGTATATATTTGTGTGTGGTGAATAGGTAGAGAGGTGGTGGGAGAGAGAAGTGGAGGTTGGTATGTGTTATATAGGGACTATGCATAGAGAGAGAAAGAGGGGAGGGGGTTAGAGAGAGAGAGTGGGGGAGAACGGGGGGGCATGCGGGTTGAGGCAACCAAGAATGATGATTGCAGGCATAATGAATACAAGATGATGTCCATTTTAGTGTGAGAGATCTTTCATCAGACAGGAACATGAAACTGAATATATGCCCACGCGCATTTTCTACTTCTATTAATATATATATATATATTTCTCACATTTTCCTATTTAATACTGTAGAAATCGACTTTACACATCTCACATAAAACTTCTTTGCTTATTACTATATACCCTGTTTTAGAAAATCTGTAAATATGTCACTGTTCGATGATCATAATCAAAATTGTAACTTGTAGTACAAAGATTTGCTTCATTATTAATCATTTACATTTGGGTATTTCAGCAATTAATTCATGAGCTAATTCAAAATTAATTATTCAACGATTAAAATGTTCAGTTGTATGGAATTAGTGCATTGAATTTAATTTGTTTGGAAAAAGTTAGATGAAAAATAAGGATTATTATATATTGAGAGTGTGAAGATTATAACTGGAAGTTCACGTCTAGAGACCAAAATGTATGTTGGTCATTCACATGGTAGCTTAGAGAAACAGAGACATAATTATAAACAAGATGCTTCTATGCATGACAATAATAATTAGAGGGTTCCTACGCGGAGGTCAGCTTATTTTCCATTTATAGGTGTTCTCAAGTGGACACAAAGCAAACACACATAGTATATATAGTACATACATATATCATATATGTGTTTGTGTATATATACATATATATGTTTGTGTATATATATACTATAATATATATATATATATATAGACGCAAAAGGCCAAAACATAATGTAAGATGAGAAGCTGAGAATCTGGGATGGAGTGAGTGATATGAGCACTACAGAGTCTCTGAAAACAGAGGACACTCTGTTTTTCAATTATGGCACGGTAGAAACAAGAAAGCACTCCAATATGGCTTTTGATTTTGTGTGAAGAAGTGAAAGAGCGAGGTGAAAACAAACACTTGTATGATGGGGACAGCATTGTCTTTGCAGAAGTGGGCAGCTGTGGTGTAACAAAAGGTTTTTAAGACGTGCCCAAAAAATCATCAATTGTTTTTTTTTTTTTTTTTTATTTAAAAAAAAAAAAAAAAAAACCAAACTAAAAAACAAAAGGAATCAGGCGTGGCAGCTAAATTATGAGAGTATCCATGAATTAGGGGGGTCCGTACATGAAATCAAAAGCATTCACATCATTCTTCTGTTCCATGCATGCATTGTATTATCATCAATTTTTTTTTTTTTTTTGTATAGTATTTATTATTATTTTTTTCCTCTCAAAAAAAAAAAATAGGGTTTATATATATAACGAGAAAGTTTAAGTTATTAGAGATATATATATATATATATATATATATAAGTTTAATATTATATATATTGTAATATGAATAATTTATTCCATTTTTAGTTGGTTAAAAGCATATATCATTAGATAATTTTTTTTCTACTTTTAGTAAGATTGTTACTTGGCTTTAGGAGTTAGTAATGTGCATACCTACTTATTAAAATACTTAGCTTTTAAGTTACTTTGGTAGTTCAATTCACCTTATTAGGCTTACATTTATTGTAGTATGGTACACTGTATATTTTTAAATAACACATATATACATAGATATAATAGTATGTAGATATTAAAAAAAGAACTGAAATTTGAAAGACATGTATGTATCAAGAATTGGTGGAAAGTCGAAAAGATGGTACAGGCAATGATGTTTAGAATCGAATTTATACACAAAGCACACATATTTCACACACACGCAGGACAAGAGATCACCCCATATCTTGCACATGAACCATATCATATATTCTCTCGGAGTTTGTATCCTCTCCAATTAAATTTCTATCAGATGATGAAATTGCTAAATTTAAATCACAGGATTGAAGTATGCGGAGTGCAAGAAAGAGTACGTATGTGTGTGTATATATAAAAGATTAGGCACAATGCTTCTGTTAAGATTTGAAGATAGCGAGATGTATTATTATTTTACATCCATCCGTTATTTTCTTATTTCAAACTTCTAAATTTCGGAATGCATAACCTTATCATTACGACAATGTTTACCGTCCATGTGTGTGCGCGCGCGCACACACATACATAAATATACATCTAACATTAAAAATTGGTCAACTGAAGATTAAGATAGATACAGTGTATTGGACCAAATCAATCTTGAAAAGTGTCTCAGACCTAACTCTTAACAAAATCATACCTTTTACATCAAAAGGTGTTACCAAAATCTTCCTCTAATATCAATTGTTTTGAAACTAGGTAAGTAGAGGGACAAAGAAAAGAATATAGCAATAGCCTTAATCTCATTTTGGACCCACTGGACCACCTTTTTAATCCACACTAACCACATCCTCTCTACAAACCCAAATCATTTTACCCAACTCCATGATGGGTCCCACTTGTAGGTCACACACACAAAAAAAAAATTAAATGGACCCCACATAGCTACACATCATCTAGCATGTGCCCTGTTTTCTTGACACATAGGCCCATACGTATTGGAAGCTCCATTTTAGTTTATGAACATGCTGTCCCTACTAGGTTGTATGTGGCACGACATGGTCATTGGTTGGGATGGTTACAATTTACAAGTGACTTTAGCCGCCATACATGCCTGCACGCGCGCATTTACACACATGTGGCATATATATATATATATATATTTATTATATGTCCACAAAATATAGGGGCATTTTGAGCACTAAGGAGCATTTGTGAGTGCTACTGTACCATGCGCACAAGAATTGTGCAAATGTGGTGCCCACACCCCACCACTGTTTTAGTTGGGTGTGCCATTTACAGGTTGCGAAGTGGGATGGTTCGGTCTTCAAGCCTTTGTCACTGTTTTCTTGGCTTGCAATCTTTGCATTTAAATGAGTACAAATCAATCTCTAGAATAGAAGTAAATTTGTATGTCTAAGAATACATAGTCACAGTCAATCACATATTATTATATAGTCAAATGCATTGTTTGTAATTAACCGAGACTGTAATTTCGAACCATGTGTTAATTTTTTCAAGATTGAATTGTGTTCACGGACATTTATTCCTAACAAAAGCGGCGAAAAAAAAAAGTTCATTGGCTTTTGTCTAATTTTTCACCTTTGTCACTAGCAACTGCACCAAGAGTCTACCTACCATTTGGATTGATGAATATGAAATGGGGGATTTCCTCTCTCCTTCCGCTTTCTTAACCTTTCCCTTCTACCAAACAAATGACGCTTACTTCTAATACCTTAATCAAATTACTTCTCAAAATCAGCAATGGACAATATCATATTATTTTCGCTTTTTAACTCACTTTTGAGGTTTTTTTTTTTACTTCCAAATTCCAAAATTCGAAAAAGAAAAAAATAAAAACTATCAACCTCTTCCGTTCGATGTAGATTGAGATTATGTTATTCACGATCTCATAAAATTTCAATTTCAGTAAAATTCTCAAAACCTTCCCTTTTTGGTAAGAAATGAAATGGTAATTCATTCATATTTCTTTTTCTTTTTTTTCTTTTTTTTTTTTTATGTCAATTAGTAATTTTCTTTTCAATTTTCTACCCTACTATACATGGTCATACTCAAAGTTGGCGATGATGAGATTATTGAGTTATCGCACCACAGAATTAGACAAACCCTATATTTAATCTTGTTCTAAACAAATGATTGGACCCCACTTCAATGATTGCTCCTAGGTGGCAATATGCTTCCTACAAGATTTGAAGCAAACAGGACATGTTACAAGTTTTAAGTGCTTATAATTCCACAGTATTGCTTCGTGTCCCCACAGACAAACACACTAAAATATTAATATGTGTTTGTATATACATAGTATACTCAATCCCACGCCTCGAGCCCTGCCACAGTGAGCAAATCTCTTCTTGATAGAGATGAAAACTCACACGCCACATATCATTTCTCTCGTGCTTTCTCTCTCTACTTTCACGCCCAGAATCTCTCTCGATTGCTCCACGCAAGCATCACTTCTCTCTCTCCTCTCTCTCTCTATATCTCTTGTGCCAGTGCGTGTATATACACACACATATTTATGTGTGTGGATATTTGTAATTCTGCTGACTAGCAGTGAACTCAACACTACATATGTTGTTGCTGTCTTATTCACGTCCTTTTTATCTTCAATTTTGGTCCTCCACCCATTCGATTACGTTCTTATCCAATTGACACTATTTCACCAGGATGAAATAACAAATGGAAGGTCAAAAATGACACTTTACTCTGCGTCAAATAAATAACATTTAATTTTAATTTTAATTTTAATTTTGTTATAACACTAAAACCCAAATACGGGATAAGGGTATAGCTTAGAAGGTATTGTGAGAAATAGAATTTTGGTTGACAAATTTTGATGTCAAAATTTGAATTCAGGGGTTGTAATTTTTAACTCAAATAGGGGATACGGGTACACCTTAAAGGGTAATGTGAGAAATGTAGTTTTGGTTCACCAACTTTTATTATCAAAATCTGAATTGATCAACTTGCAATTTTTGTTTTAATTTGTGTCTTGATCTTCAAAGTAGAACAACATGAATTGATCAAGTTGTAATTTTTGTTTTAATTTGTGTCTTGGTTTTCAAAGTAGAACAACCTTGATTAAATGGGAACAGCATTGAAAACAGGCGTACGTGTGAGAACACGATAGACAAGAAATTTGGTTGAATTAAGACTTTAAAAAATATGTTTTGAAGGTTATTTTTCATTGGTTGGAAATTTTCCAACCAGATTTAATAATTTCAGGAGCTCATCCGGTCCAACGGGTTAGAGTTTTTAAAATTTGCAATATTCCGTAAAAGTCCAAACGATTGGTAAATTACCAACGGATTGAAGTGCTCTTGGAGGTTATGCACTTTTATTTACCTGTATAGTCAAACCTATTGAAAAGTTATAAACTTGTTAGATTTGTCTTGACACGTGTGAGACTCTATGTTTTGAATTCTTTTTTTCATCAAATCTCTCGAGATGTCCAATAATGTTTTCAAAATTCTTTTTCAACTAATATTTGGACTCTCAGGTGTATTTAAACTCTCTTGACTTCTATAGTTCACGTTAGAGGAA